TTTTGTTTTCCTGAAAATAGATTCTAAAAACCGAACTTAACAAAACTTTAAAACTAATTTTTTTTTTTAGCATTATTCATTAAAAAATGTCATTACATTTTAAACAACATACAAGTTAACAATAAAAAATAAGTGGTATGGTGACTTTGCCCTTGAAACATATTTGATTGTCCTTATTTGAAACAACACTCAAAATTCAAGATCAAATATATCACAATTAAAAAGTCAGGGACTAAAGTGACACAAACTCCAAACTATAGGGACTGTTAGTATAATTTACCCTAATAAAAACTGTTCGTCATTCTTTTGGAATTAAACTCCCAAACATATGATCGAAATTCATGAATACATACCTGAACATTGTTCATTTGTTCGGGAATAGGTAACTAAACATTTCTTATTTGTTCGGAAATAGATAATCGAAATTTGTAGAGATTGTAGAACCTATAAAAGGGGAATTTCGAATCAACAATAAAAAATCTTACATTTATTTTCTCAGGTCGTGAATAAATATGAGAAGATAAAATAGTAATCACTTTCGTGTGTTTTGTTAGAGGTTTTGAGAGAGAGATTTTTTGGGATATGAGGGTGTGCATTTAATTGAATGGGTGAAGTATTTTCATAAGGATAATTTTTTATTATTTAAGAGGTGAAAAGAAATTTTAAGAGTTTTAAAATTTATAAATAAGGATCCAAAGAAATAAGGTATTTAAAATAATCGATGAAATATTAATAGTAGTACTAAAAAATTATAGGAAGTATTATGGGAGATGGTACTTGAAAAATTGTTCCTTAAAATAGGAAGATACTTTTTTAATTAAAATTCGAAGAAAATTTAGGAAGGATGGGGCTGGAGATGATCTAAGCATCCCCACCCTACCCCTAAATCATTCCCTTATCTATTTTAGGTTATACATATAACTAGTAGTCACTCGTGCGATGCATGAGATTTTAGAAAGTTAATAATTATTTTTTTAAAAAAATACTATTTGATTGTATTTTTTAATATTTTTATTTAGTTTGTGTATGTAAATCTTACTTTACATCATTAAAAATATTTAATATTTCACATTATTGAATTTTTTTAAAAATTATCATACATTAAGTAAATCGTCACATATATAATAGCTAATTTATTTAAGAATTACTTCAAATAACCAAAGTAGAGTAACAAAGGCATATTATAATTAATCAAAATGACTAATATTAAATAAAAGTAACACTAATTTTGTTTAATCAATAGTAGATATTATATTAATTATCCCATATTAGTGGTTAAAATTTTTGACATGCTATCTGTTTTTGGTTATATTGATTCATTAAACATAAATAGGTTTGGAATTATTACAAAAAAAAAAATTAAAAATAAGGTTTGGAAATTCATTAAAGTTGAATTGACAAATATAAAGAATATAAATATTTAAATTATTCACAAAAACAATTTAACATTTTTAACATGAGATCTCTTTCATTTGCTCAAACTTTGAATCTAAATAATAAATAAATTAAAAAAAGAAAAAAGAAATTTATGGTTTAGTTCTCAAAGGAAATGAGTTCCTAAAAATAAATTTAATCATGAGTTATTTCAACAGGATAATCAATAATAAAAAATCAACTGATAAGTACATTTAAAGTATAAACCCATATTCAATAAATTTTGATGTGGTCTTCATTTTCAATCTAACGTCTGCATAAAAAAAAATTAAACACAAATAATCAATAAGTGAAAAAGTTACAAATTGATAATAGTAGCGCTTTTAAAAGAAAAAAAAAAGAATAAAATTTCAATTAAATGACACATTATTAACAAAAATAAAGAAATAAAGAAAAATACAGATTGTAATTAGAAAAATTAAAAATAAAATAATAATATCAATTTACATAAACTCACTTTTCTCACAAATGTAAAAACTCATGCAAATACACATTTCAAATGTAAAGCAAATATTTAAGATTTTTAGGCACTGAAAAAAGATCAGAAATGACTCAGTCGTTTGGGAAGAGCTCATTTGGGCTCTTTTGGCTCTTTGAGCCACAAAAGACAGAATAGGCTATTTGAGCTACAACAGGCAAAACATCACATCCAACCCATAATCATTACACTCTTCTCTCACAAAAAAAGTCAAAAAAGTCAAAAAGCCAAAAAGCCTTTCCCAAACCAAGCTTTTGAGCCGAAGCTCAAATAGTCAAAAAAGCCAAAAAGTCAAAAAGCCAACCCACTTCCCAAACGGAGGCTCAATGTTGATTGTTTTCCTCCCACCCCACCCCACCCCAATCTTCTGTGCATGGTTTTATTTGCAGAAACTTGTTTTTATATTAAAAAGATTATGCTTAGACAAAAGATATATATGGAATTCTATCTTATTTAAAATCTGTATGGATAATTAATTAATGATTTCAAAAGATAAAATTTTAAGTTCAACTTGAAGATAAACTTTAAAAAAATCAAGCTGAAATATATAGGAATTCTATAACAAACTAACAAAAGATAAGTATAGATCATTAAAAGAATTATTATCTTTTTGGGATATTTATATCCCAATCTTAATTTTTTTATTTAAATATTTTGTTATCTTTTATTCGAATTTTCAATTTGCAGTTCAAATCTAAATAGTTATATTTTTATTTTTTTTATATTTTTTTCATCTCTATTTTTATGTTATTCATACATAAACAGTTATCTTTTTATTTTAAAAATTATTTAGCTCGTAATCTTTTTTATTTGAATATTAATCTTGTATTTGAAGTTTAATCAATTCAAAATATGGAATTGTATTAAATTTAAATTTTATATGGATAATTAATTGATGATTTTAAAAGGTAAAATAATAAGTTCAACTTGAAGATAAAATTTAAAAAAGATTAAGTTGGAATATATGAGAATTCTATAACAAACTCACAGAATGTAAATATAGATCGTTAAAAAATTTGTTATCTTTCTGGGATTTATATCTTAAACTTAATATTTTTTATTCAAATGTTTTTTTTATCTTTTATTTGCATTTTTATTTATGGAATTTTATTATATTTAAAATTTATATGAATAATTAATTAATGATTTTAAAAGAAAATATATTAAACTCAACTTGAAGATAAACTTTAAAAAGATTTAGCCAAAATATATGAAAATACTATACTTACACCAGCTCACATAAGGTAAATATAGATCGTTAAAAAATTTGTCATGCTTTTGAAATTTATATATCAATCTTAACTTTTTTATTTAAATATTTTTTTTTATCTTTTATTTGAATTTTTATATTTCAGTTTAAATCTAAATATATCTCTATTTTTTTTTTTTTCATATATAAATAATTATCTTTTTATTTTAAAATTTATTTGACTCATAATATTTTTTTATTTAAATATTTTTTAATTGTTCATATATAAATAGTTAATTTTTATTTTTAAAATTAATTGACTCATAATATTTTTATTTAGTTATTTTTTAATATTTTATTTGACTCTTTATATTATTTTGTATTGAAATTTGAATAGTTTACTTTTTATTTTATTTTTTTATTTTTTTATCTCTACCTTTTTTATGTTCATATCTAACTATTTATTATTTTATTTAAATATATATAATCTTTTAGCTTTTGAGATTTAGATAATTGACAATGATTAAAATTAGAAAAATGAGAGGAGAGACTTGAGAGGTGACACGTAGCAGAAATAATCCATAAGATTTTAGTATTAAGAGTTCATAAATGATTTAGAGCTCTAAATAATGAGTTCTAAATCCACCACTAGTGAGGTGAAAAAAAAAAAAAAAAAAAATGCTTGGGAGCACTAATTAGTGTTCCACTAATTAGGTGCAGTGGTCCCGCCATTAATGATATGATGTTTTGGTCTTGGAGTTGTGTGTTTTTTTTTTTTTTTTTTTTTTTACTTTTTTAATGCATTAGGGCTATTAGTGGTGATATTTTTAGTGGGATGAATCATTGTTGAAAAAAAAACAGCATACACTGTGGCAGTGGGTGGGATCCACTGTCACATCATTAGTGGTAGCTCTAAATCATTTCTATTAAGAGTTTGGAGAATTCTTATATTTTATTACATGCTTATATACATAGTATGAATAGATATATTTTGCTTTACTTTGTTTAGAAACTGCAGTACATATTATGATTTTTATTTTTTTTAAATTTATAATTAAAAATTATATTTTAATAGAATATAGAAAATATAGAAAGTTTGTTAATAGAATAGAGAAAGAATAGGAAATTTATTGGAATTTAGAAGAAATAAATGAAAAAGTGATTTTTAAATAAAAATTAAATTTTTTAATAATATTTTAGGATAAAATAAGCTGGTAAGGCGCAGTGCAATTTACCCTATATTTTCACGCATATATAAGCTTAACCAATTCAATAGCATTTTATAAAGAAACGCAAGAGATGGAGGGAAAGCAGTCGAATACGAAACCCAGCGATTTGTTGAAGAAGATCAGAGGTAATTTCATCGATCCCAAACCACTTCAAGTAAATCAATCATCTATTTGATCCTTCTAACGATGATTTTTCACTTATCCTTCTCATTTTTTATTTTTGGATTTTTTTGGGTAGAAATAACTCGATCGATTCTCGAAGATATATGTAAAGGACGATCGCCATCGCTATACATCGATCGCTTCAGAAATTATTGCACAGGCGATACTGGAAACTGGTTTGATTCCTTTAATTGCTTCGAATCTGAATTCTCTGCT